ATGTACTGTGTAGTACATTTTATGGGTTGGATTACTGTATAATGACATGTAGCCATCATTATGGTATCATACAGGGTATTTTCACTGCCCTAAAAATCCCCTGTGTTCTACCTGTTCATCCCTCCCCCATCCCCTGGCAGCCACTGTTCCTTTTACTGTCTCCCTAGTCTTGCCTTTTCCAGAATGTCATACAGTTGGAATCATACAGTGTGTAGCCTTTTCAAATTGGCTTCTTTCACTTAGTAATATGCATTTAAGGTTCCTCTATGTCTTTTCGTGCTTTGATAGTTCATTTCTTTTTAGTGGTGAATAGTATTCCATTGTATGATTACCACAGTTTATCCATTCACCTACTGAAGTACAGCTTGTTTGCTCTTAAGTTTTGGCAATTATGAATAAAACTACTATAGACATCTGTATATAGGTTTTTGTGTGGACATAAGTTTTCAACTCTTTTGGGTAAATTCCAAGAGGTGTGATTGCTGGATCATATGGTAAGAGTATGTTTAGTTTTATAGGAAACCACCAAACTGTCTTCCAAAGTGGCTGTGCCATTTTGCGTTCTCATCAACGAGTGAGAGTTCCTGTTGTTCTACATCCTTGTGAGCATTTCGTGGTATCGGTACTCCAGATTTTGGCTGTTCTAATTGGTGTGTAGTGGTTATCTCATTGTTTTAATTTGCATTTCCCTGATGACATATGATGTGGAGCATCTTTTCATATGCGTATTTGCCATCTGTATATCTTTTTTGAAGAGGTGTGAAAGTCTTGGCTCATATTTTGATCAGGTTGTTTATTTTCTTATTGTTGACTTTTTTTTTCTGATGAAGATTGGCCCTGAGCTAACATCTATTGCCAACCTTCTTCTTTTTCTTTTTTCTCCCCAAAGCCCCAGTACATAGTTGTATATCCTAGTTGTAGGTCCTTCTAATTCTTCTATGTGGGACACCACCTCAGCATGGCTTGATGAGCGGTGAGTAGGTCTGCATCCAGCATCTGAACTAGCAAACCCTGGGCCACCAAAGCAGAACACCTGAACTTAACCGCTATGCCACCGGGCTGGCCCCTCTTATTGTTGACTTTTTTTTTTTTGCGAGGAAGATCAGCCCTAAGCTAACATCCATGCCAATCCTCCTCTTTTTGCCAAGGAAGACTGGTCCTGAGCTAACATCCGTGCCCATCTTTCTCCACTTTATGTGGGATGCTGCCATAGCATGGCCTGACAAGCGGTGCGTTGGTGCGCACCCGGGATCCAAACCCAGTCCACCAGCAGCGGAGTGTGTGTGCTTAACCGCTACGCTACGGGGCTGGCCCCTATTGTTGACTTCTAAGAGTTCTTTATATATTTTGGATAATAGTCCTTCATCAGATGTGTCTTGTGCAAATATTTTCTCCCAGTCTCTGGCTTGACTTTTCATTTCTCTTGACATTGTCTTTCACAGAACAGAAGTTTTTAATTTTAATGAACTCCAGCTTATCAATTATTTCTTTCATTGATCATGCCTTTGGTGTTGTGTCTAACAAGTCATCACCATATCCAAATCATCTAGGTTTCTCCTGTGTTATTTTCTAGGATTTTTATAGTTTTGCCATTTACTTTTAGGTCTGTGATCTGTTTTGAGTTAATTTTTGTGAAGAGTGTAAGGTCTGTGTCTAGATTCATTTTTTTTGCATGTGGATGTCCAGTTATTCTGGCGCCATTTATTAGAAAGACTGTCTTTGCTCCATTGTATTGCCTTTGCTTCTTTGTCAAAGATCAGTTGACTGTGTTTATGTGGGTCTGTTTCTGGGCTCTCTGTTCTGTTCCATTTTTTTTTTGTCTGTTCTTTCACCAAGTGCCACACTGTCTTGATTACTGTAGTTTTGTAGTGAGTCTTGAAGTTGAGTAGTGTTAGTCTTCCAACTTTTTTGTTCTTCTTCAACATTGTGTTGGCTATTCTGGGTCCTTTGCCTCTGCTTGTAAACTTTAGAATCGGTTTGTTAATATCCACAAAACAACCTACTGGGGTTTCGATTGAGATTGCATTGAATCCATATTTTAAGTTGGGAAGAACTGACAGACATCTTGACAATATTGAGTCTTCCTATCCATGAACATAGACTATCTCTCCATTTATTTAATTCTTTGATTTTGTTCATCAGAGTTTTGTAGTTTTCCTCATATAGATCTTGTATGTATTTTGTTAGATTTTTATACCTAAATATTTTTGGGGGTGTTAATGTAAATGGTATTGTGTTTTTAATGTCAAATTCCACTTGCTCATTGCTGGTATATAGGAAAGCAATTGACTTTTTTATATTAACCTTGTATCCTGCAACCTTGCTGTATAATATAATCTCTTATTAGTTCCAGGAGTTTTTTGGTCAATTCTTTTGGATTTTCTACATAGATTATCATGTCATCTGTGAACCTCCGTGTCCTCATGTCATCTGTGAACCTCCCTTGTGTCCTCCCCTCTCTTAGAGATCCAAGAAGAGATTTTTTTTAACACATTAAAAACTGTTCAGTTTTCTTAATTAGAATATATTAAGTTCACACATAATGTAAATAAAACATTTCAAAATTCACTATTTGCTCCTTGGTCAAAATACAAATTACAAGCAATCAGGAAGCATTCATATTCTTCTGGTATAATGATATCAGAATTGGGCTTCCTATGATTTTCAAGACTGAGGCTGATTATTTAGTAAACATGGATGTACAATAAATTTATGTCCTTTTAGAGAAGAGTTAGCTATAGTTTTCTTTGATATCTGTTAAAATTTCTGTATTTCAACCACATCAACCAGTATTCATGACTTCTAATAATTCCTATTATGAAGATACATCAAGATTTTAATGGACTGCCGGCTATTTTGCCTTAAAGAGCAATTGGTATGACAATGTATTTATAAAATTCATAATATTCCTCTGTTGTACTTTAATGCAGAACGATGCCCTGAACACCTACTTAAGGTGACCTACATCAATATTATAAGTCAACCACAAACAGCATGTCCATTTAGATTTTCTTTATACCTTTTACATTACAGCGTCCTTAACCTTCCGTGGAAAAGTTAGATACACATGAAGCCCACCTATTATACAAAGACCTCTCATCTCTTTGATGCAACAACAATCAGCCACATGATTTCACATGCACATTAGGAATAAAAGCATAGCATGATGTGATTTGAGAGTTGAATTACATTATTTGCTTTTCAAAAAATCTCAAATACTGTCTATATAGAAAAGGACACATTGAAAATAATTATACATGTGCAAACATCCATCCCCTTAATCCTTTGAAGCATAATAACAGATTATATAAATTTTAAAGCTTTGGATTATTCTCTATAATAAATACTTTGATGTAGAGTAATATCTGAAAAGTGTTATTGACTTACTATTTTCTACTGTGAATTCAAGAAAAGTTGTTGATTTTTTTTGTCTCCTTAGCCTTTTACTTGTGAGGATGGAGTGTGGTGACTTCCAGGCTCCTTACATGCACAGCTGTAATCTGAAAGTCTATATGGTGGTGCTTTTTTTTTTTTTTTTTTTTTGCTGAGGAAGACTAGCCCTGAGCTAACATCTCTGCAAAGCTTCCTCTGCTTTTTATGTGTGGGTCACTGCCACAGCGTGGCTGATGAGTGGTGTAGGTCCGTGCCCAAGATCCAAACTCATGAACCCAGGCTGCCTAAGTGGAATGTGCCAAACTTAACCTGCCCCATATGGTGTTTTTTGAAAGTGCTTATCTTTAACCAAATTTGGTTTCAATTCTGTTGTTAATTCAAGTGTTGGTAAGACTGAGGTTACTAAGGATTAGAATAGAAAAGAAAAAATAAAAAGCTAATACAGTGATTCTTAACTCTTTTCAAGTTAAAATGGTATTGGTTGATTATTTTAACTGCTGCTTCTTCAAAAGTTGCTCCCCCTGGAAAAATTTATATCTAGGGTTGTTGATTCTGACTCCTATATCAACGGGAGAGTAGGACATGGTGGACTTTGCACTGTTAATCACTACTCAAAGAGATAATGACAGTTGTTATATATAATTATTTACAGTTGTAGGAAGTGGTTTTATGTTCATTATCTTATTTGATGTTCACAATGGTTGATACAGAGGTTTAGCTCCTCTGCTTTGTAATTGAGGAAACCAAGAAACTGTGACTCTTGTCTGAATTGACGTATTGTAACAGTAGAGCTGACATGAAGATAAAAAGTTTCTGGTTCAGAGGCTTTTGTACTTTCCACTGAACCGCAGAGTCATTCTGTAGAACTAGGGCAAGAAGATGGTGTTTGACAGTTAGCAACGTAGAATATATAACTTTACCATTGCTTTGCTTTGTGACCTCGGAAATAATCAGTTAATCTTTTTTACTGTGTACTCTTTATTTTTCACGTAGGGTTTATAATACTTGGCAATTTATGTCCCAGAGTGTTATAACACTTGAAACGCTTGGGAAGAAAGCATTATTATTTCATTACTTTAATTTTATTTTTTTATTTATTACCTTTCATTATTTTAATTTTATCGTTATTTATCATGATTATTACCATTTCTATTTACTTTATCGTTTTTATTTATCGTTATTACTTTAATCAGACATCGCGCTATGGCCATATTTCATGTATTGGAGTGGAAGAAGAGGAGGAGTTCAGGAAAGTAGAAAAAAAGTATGCCGGAATTTATACATTCAAAGCAATGTTATCTTTCCAAACAGTGACCTTGAGCAACTATATACTTGCTGCCATTGCTCAAAATATCCATTGGATCTCATTTTTTAAATAATGGCTTCAGTATTTTATTTGCATCTGTACACAGGTATATCTATTCAACATGAAAATATTAGTGAACAGTTTAGTTGTTGGGTTTACATGATACTGATAATTAGTATTTAGAACATTTTTAACTAGTGGGGGTAGATTCAGCAACAGAATTGTTTTGATGAGATTTTTTGTAGCTTAGGTTGATAGAATGAGTTATCTTTGAATTAATGATTGTGTTTCTTTCCTCTAGTCTGCAGACAAGCAGCGAGCCCTAGAAGAAACCAAAGCTTACACCACCCAGTCCTTAGCAAGTGTTGCCTATCTGATAAATACCTTGGCCAACAATGTCCTGCAGATGCTGGATATCCAGGCATCTCAGCTACGAAGAATGGAATCTTCAATCAATCATATTTCACAAGTGAGACCACACTATCTTCCTATTTTGCCTATAAGGAATACTTAAACACAGGTACTCTGTAATGCTGGCAGCCTGTATCATGTGAGTTAACTCACATGTATGATTTGGAAAATACAAACTCCATATTAGGTTTTTGTTGTTGGTTTTTTTTTTTTTTTTGGTGAGGAAGATTGGCCCTGAGCCAACCTCTCTTGCCAATCCTCCTACCCCTTGCTGAGGAAGATTGGCCCTGAGCCAACATCCGAGCCGATCTTCCTCCATTTTGTATATGGGACGCCGCTACAGCATGGCTTGTTAAGCAGTGTGCAGGTCCGTGCCTGGGATCTGAATCCTCGAACCCTGGGCCGCCGAAGCGGAGCGTGTGAACTCAACCACTACGCCACCAGGCCAGCCCCTGTTAAGTTGTTTTTTGATTCTACCTTTTTGTGGAGTGATTGTTTTCTCTGTGATTTTCATAGGGAAGTAAACTTTAATTTCTGTTAAAACTCTGTTGTCATGTTAAAATAGCCTTGAGGTAAAAATTTGTTTGGTTTCTTTCAACTTTTTCTGAATTATACACTTCGTTATCTTTTTAAAAATATAAATGTGATAGTTTGATGGAAAGATTAATCTAAGTGGCTTTATAAAATTATCTTTATATAGAACTTAAAAAAATTAATGTTACACTTTTTCCATTATAAAAGTCATGCTCGTGAATATATAGAAAAAGAAAAAATGAAAAAACAAACCCTCTTCTCACTACTTGAGTGTTTCACTGTTAATATTTTGTTATATTTCCTTCTAATACTTTTTTCTTGTAAATAATTTTTAAAATTTAGCTGTGATTATGTATAGAATTTTGGTCTGCTCTTATAAGTTACTATTACAACAGACATCTTCCTGTGATATGTTCTTCATAAACCGTTTCAGTGGTTGCATAATGTTGCATGCTTATATCATAGCTTTTATAACCATTCTTATATTTTGGGACCATTTTATTTATTTTTTTAAATTTTTAAAAATTTATTTATTTATTTTTGCTGAGGAAGATTCACCCTGAGCTAACATTGTGCCGCTCTTCCTCTATTTTGTATGTGGGTTGCCCTCACAGCGTGGCTGCTGACGAGTGATGTAGGTTTGCTCCTGGGAACCGAACCCGGGGCTGCTGAATCAGAGCGTGCTGAACTTAACCACTAGGCCATGGGGCCAGCCCTGGGGCCATTTCAAATAATACTGTAATGAAAAACTAATTTGTAATTGCAAAGTGCACTTTAAAAACATTAAAAAGGTAGAGGTTTTGATCTGCCTGCTTCTCTTTGATGAGATCTTTGAAGCTTTTCTATTTTAGCACTCTTGTCACTTGAGTAGCTTGGTAGTATTCAGCACTCTTTTTAGACGTAAATGATTAGAACTCTTCTGGAATAAAATGAGTTTTAAAATGTGCATATATATATACTTTTATATATATATCTTAAGAGTTTGGGACTCTTCTGAAATTGACTAATCCAATAATTTTTCAAAGCCTAAAGTTTAATTTGTATAATTAAATCAAATATAGTCCAGATAATCAAATCAATATGGGAGGTTTACTTTATATTTCTGTTACTTGAAAATTCATCAGACCATTCAGAGAGATTTCTTATTTAATATTATTTCATCTTAAATCTGAATTTGCCACTATCAGTTTCTTCTCATCCCATATAAACTTCTGTAGACATGGTATAATTTATTGCTTGTTGTATTGCTGTGTTTCTTAAACTAAAAAACAAAGAATTGGTGAGTTTTAATGAGTGAGAGGTAAATTTTATTCTGTAAAGGTCTCCTAAAGGAAATTATCCATGGAATTTTAAATGATGAAATAGATTAAACTTGGTTTTCTAGGAAGGAGGGATGTTGACAAATTGCTAGTCTGATAGAGAGTTTCGAGGTTTACACTTGAGAGTCTTAAAATTTCTGCATATTTGAAGTCTTGGCAAAGGACCCAAAAAAGAATGTAAGAAGAAAAGTGCAAATGTGAAAGAGAAATTAATATATTAGAGTTCCTTAAAAGGAGGGACAACTTTTTTATTAGTTTGTAAGAGAAAGTAGGAAAGATTGTGTGGGTAGCTGATGACAACAACCAAGTGACAATGAAAGATAATCATGTCTTTCCTGATTAGAATTTTGTAGTTCTTTGATAGGAAGGGTAGCAACCTTAAGGAGGAAGGTGAATAAGTCTACTCTAGTTTATACGTATATGTATTAATTCAGTTAATGAGTTCATTTTCTTTTTGAGTATCACAAATTTATATTTAATTAATATGGTCTGATATCTCTTAAAACTATTCTAATGGAATAAGTAATAAATGGAAGAGATAAATGGATAGAGATTAGTAGGTTAGAAATGACAGGGGCCTGAGTCAGAGCTGTCAAGAACACGCTGAACCTTCTTCCGTTGGAGTTAAGTGCCTGGAGGGCAATCCCTGGAGAGGTGAGAGATCTGTGGCTCTACAGCTGCTGTTAAGCTTATACAGAAGGTATCTTAGTATGTTGGGTGAGGGGTTGAGTAGGAAAAATGGGCTGATGGAGGCTATATCTATGAAATGAGTAAATTTAAAAAGTTTTATATATTTTTTGTCATTAGCCTTAAGGATTGAAAATTTTTTCAATTACATTTAATGTAAGATAGAGTCTTTGTTTTAAAAGTCAATTGAATATCAAAACTATTTGCTCTTTAGACTGAAAGATTATCCTATAAGGGAAAATGTTTTCTGTTTACAAGGCAATTACTCAGTAAATACTCTAAAAGAAGGGTTGGCAATTTTTTTCTGTAAAGGGCCAGATAGTCAATATTTTAGGCTTTGTCAGCCACATGTGGTCTCAGTCTCATATTATTCTTTGTGTTTGTGTGTTTTTAAAGATTTTATTTATTTTATTTTTCCCCCCAAAGCCCCAGTGGATAGTTGTATGTTGTAGCTGCACATCCTTCTAGTTGCTGTATGCGGGACTCGGCCTCAGGATGAACGGAGAAGTGGTGCCCCGATGCGCACCCGGGATCCGAACCCGGGCCACCAGCATCGCAGCGCGCGCACTTAACCGCCAAGCCACAGGGCCGGCCCTGTTTGTGTGTTTTTAAACAACTACTTAAAAATGTAAAAACTGTTCTTAGCTGTGGGCCATGTAAAAACAGGCTGCAGGAGAGATTTGGCATGTAGGCCATAGTTTGTAAGCCCTTGCTCTAATACAGTGGTTTTTCAAATGTTTGGTACTTAAATTTTATTATTATTATGCTTAATTAAGAATATTATTGTTTTTAGAGAGAGCCAGAAGGTTCTTAACGTATCTTGAGACCAGACTTTTTTTTTGTAATTTGGGCAAAAATACTAGGTTAAGAGAATTTGGAGAGAAGATGGGATTGTAGAACCAAAGAAATGGAGGTTCAGTCAGGTTAAAGACAAGATCGCATGTTTGTTGGAATGGTAATAGGTGTCGAGAGTTGTAAGAGCTGTCTGGAAGAGTGGTTTGGGACCAGTAGACGTTAGGTAGCTGAGGTCTTTGATTTGTTTCCTCGTAACTGTCTTTCCTGTCTGCTGGGTAAGAACTTGATTACTTTTCAGCCCCCTAGTGCTCTGGCTTCCTTTCTCCATTTTCGTGGAAATGAACACTGAGTAGGATTGGGAGGGGAGAGAGTAGGGGATCTAGGTTTTACTCTGGCTCTTCTGCTAACTCGTGTGACATTTGACTTCTTTAAACTTCGGTTTTCTTATCTGTAAAATGATAGAACTGATTATATGATTTCTGAGCTGTCTTCCATCTTGAATTCTTTATTCTTCTGAGATTCTCACAAATGAACTTCATTTGTATTTGCCTTTTTCTCTTTCTCTTCTCCTGGCTCTGCTGTTCACCTCAGTCTGTGCCCCACTGACCTCAACCCTCTGTCACTCTGATGGAACTGAACTGTTTCCCAAATTACTCTAAATTGGAATCTGAGGGTGGGAATTCCATTGATGCTACCAGCTATGTATCAGGAAAAAATACTTCAACAAAAGAAAGTAATAACTCATTCTCTGAATGTCAGACATTTTGAAAAACAAGACAGAATTGATTTTGAATATTTAGTATCAGACACTTTTTTGTGCTAAAAAAACAACATAGTATTAAGTAGTGTACTAATTTGCACCACACTCACCATATGGATAAGGCAGTGTTAGGATAGGTTCTTGATGTGGATTACCTTAGGTATTTTAAGGATGGTAAATTTTAAAGAAATTCCATCTCTAGCTTTGTCGCTGTTATCCTATCAATTCTTTGGAAGCATATTATTTAAAAAACTAACTGAAATTTTTAATCTTCAAACTGAGAGTAGAAATTAAATTAACATTAAGTATTTTTCAGGAATATGTAGTTATGGGAGCAAACATTTAATTTGACCGAATACTTGTATAAGCATACATAGCTACTTTTAAGTCAGTATAACATTATGTGTAAAGATTAATGCTCTTTACTGTGTCCATGATTTTGTGTCCATTTCTAGAAAGTTAAAAAAAAAAGGTTTATAGAACGTTATTCAAACTAAAATTCTTAGAAACTTATAAACTGAAATTCTTCTCTCAACTACTAAAAACAGTCAGTATTGTCTGTATTCAGTTCACCTTGGCTTAGAAGATCAAGAGAGCTCAAAAGGCAACATGAGAACTCAACGAGTAGTGTTCCTCCCCCCCTCCCAAGAGCTGACCAGAACTTACTGGGCCAGGTGTGGAAGTAGTTAGCAGGTAGCAAGTAAAGGAGATAGAAAGGAATGATTATAAAAGAATGTAAGGATGGAAGTAATGCTTCTTAAGGATTGGATACTAAAAGGCAGTGGATGGTCTGCACCCTGAGGAACTCACCATGTAAAGTAATTAAAAAAAAAAAACAAACTTTGTATACATAGCCTTGTTTAAAAATTCCCTATTTTAAATTAGGGAAATCTCACTAAATGTTATCAATATGTAATTATGCAAAGAAAGTAGGATTTATATAGTTTTATTTATATAAAGCTATATATTTATATATAGCTCAAGCTTGCAGGGGAGCTGGGGGTCAGTATGATTATCTCAAGGCGGTGAGAGGTATCGGAGAGGAGCCTGGGTTTGGGACTGCGTGGCTGAAGTCTCATGGGGGGAGCCTGTAGCATGCAAGACCAGCTTGGCAGTAGCACGAGAAGGATGGAGAAACAAATTAATAAGGAACTGTGGGAGAATAGAGGTTTAAGTCCTGCACAGTTGCAGTGATAATTACTTGGCATGTGTTTTGGTTAAGAGGTAGCAAACAATAATAATATTAATAGCAGTGTACTTGTGTTAGTTTTGGTCTTCTTTGCTAGCTAAACACGTTTTACTTGCTACATGTGAGTGCTATTATTGAGGCCTCTTCTAAATAAGAGCAAGTTTATTGTCATATAACCAGTAACTTTAGAAATGTAGGATAAATTTGAAATACTTTTTCTTACTATTAAAATTCTTCCTAAATATCAGTGTTGAACTTCTACTTTCAAAATTTAACTTAATGCATTTTAACATTGTAATGTCAAAGAATATTGTGAAGGCAAAGGCAGTGGTGATTACTGAAAACTCTAAATTTGATTTAGGAAAAACATAGTTTCCATATGTTTTTATTTAAAAATATGTTATAGGAATTTTACACAAGTTCTTTTATTTTATTTTATTTTATTTTATTTTTTTAAGATTTTATTTATTTATTTTTCCCCCAACGCCCCAGTAGATAGTTGTATGTCACAGTTGCACATCCTTCTAGTTGCTGTATGTGGGACGCGGCCTCAGCATGGCCGGAGAAGCGGTGCGTCGGTGCGTGCCCGGGATCCGAACCCGGGCTGCCAGCAGCGGAGCGCGTGCACGTAACCGCTAAGCCACGGGGCCTGCCCGCTCCCTCCTTTTCATTCTCCACAGATTTATTAATATTCTAGTAGGAAAATTTGAAATTGAAGTTCCAATTTGCCATAAGCTTAGACTTCTATTAGGGTTGGTTGGGTTTGCATTCTTATGGTTTTATTTCTGAATAAGATAATTACATTTGTAAAAACTGAGCAGAGTAAAAACAGTGTCTCAAGAGGATTACATTCTCTAATAAATTTTCTTTTGTTGATATGAGAAAGACCAGTTATATAAAAAATAAGTGCCATATTTTGTTTTTTATTTTGAAGCATACTTAATAAGTACGAAAGCTTCCCAGCCCATATTTTTAATGATTCAGGATGACTCATTAAAATTATTCAAAATATGATTAATTTTCATTTCTCTGGAGTTAAAAATAGGTAAATTCCAGTAGCTTCACTAGTAAGCAAACTTCTTTTTTCTGTTGTAGCTCCCCCAAGCAGTTGAAAAGGAAAGATTTTGTAATTTCCCTAACATGCACAGAAAGAGTTCAGACTATTTTTGTCGTAAAAAGAAATACTTAAAATGATAAGGTTACTACTGTGGCCGATCTTTTATTTGATGCTTCCTGTGGATATTTATTAGTTCTGAACTTACAGATTCTGTTGCTTTTAAGATCTCTTGGTTGAAATAGGAGGCTTTGAATTTGTTTCAGGTTCTCTTCATACTTTGGGTAGTTTAGAAGGATAATCAGCTTTCAGATTTCTTAAAGTGGTATTTAATAATGTCATGGTGGTTATCATCTTTTCTTTCCATGTCTGTGTTATTACCTGGTTCTTCTTCTTTTTTTTTTTTTTTTTAAAGATTTTATTTATTTATTTTTCCCCCCAAAGCCCCAGTAGATAGCTGTATGTCACAGCTGCACAATCTTCTAGTTGCTGTATGTGGGACGCGGCCTCAACGTGGCCAGAGAAGCGGTGCGTCTCTGCGCGCCCGGGATCCGAACCTGGGCCCCCAGGAGTGGAGCGCGCGCACTTAACCGCTAAGCCACGGGGCCGGCCCTGGTTCTTCTTTTAGAAAGGGGTTGTTGAAGTAGGTCTGGAGAAGAATTAGCAAAAGTGTCTGTTTGCTACTTGAGCCAGGAATGGAGGTAAGAGATGTGAACAATTTTAGTGAAGTATTTTTCAAACTTTTTTGACTGCAACCCACAGTAAAATACATTTTACATTGCATGCGGTACACAATTCACGTATGTATTTATATACATAACAAATGTTTCAAGAGACGGTACTTACCTTACTATGTATATATGCAGTCTGATATTTCTGTTCTATTTCGTTTAAAATAATTGCTGCTCACATCCCACTAAATTGCAACCTGGAGTTTGAAAAATGCTGTTTTAGTGTATTAATTACCTGTATTTGTAGAGAAATTCACCCTCTATTAGTGAATAGGAGACTGAGAGTAATAACGTCATTCTGTACTAAATTATATCCTATTGTGAGCATTTAATGAATAATATATATTGATGAGATATTTTATAAGCATTGTGTCATGATAAAATATAAGCAACTTTGCCTTAGTAAACTTAAGTTTTTCTGTAAAAAATGACTTTTATTTTTAACATTGTATTTATATTTTAGGCCTCTTCCTTTTTTAATAAAAACATATTTAAACACTAATAGAAATTATACTAATAGGCTATTTTTAAAAATAACCAGATTAATCACTGGGTCTGTCTTAGTTATATTAGGCTAAATCAAATGGAGAGGGGAAAAATTAGCGCATTTTAACCCAGGGATTGGCAAACTTTTTCTGTAAAAGGCCAGCTAATAAATATTTTAGGCTTTGCAAGCCATAAGGTCTCCATTATAACTACTCATCTCTGCCATTGTAGTGTGAAAATACATAAGCAAGTAGAATGGCTGTGTTCCAATAAAACTTTATTTATGGAAACTGAAATTTGAATTCTGTATAATTTTCACATGTTACAGCGTTACTTTTCTTTTGACTTTTTTAACCACTAAAAAATGTAAGCACCACTCAAAGCTTTTGGGTTGTAGAACACAGGTGGTGGGCCAGATTTGGTCTGCAAGCCATGGTTTGCCAACCCGTGCTTTAGCCTAAAAATGGAGCAAGTCAGTATTAGTGTACAAAGAGAAAATTTAGCAGTTGTGGTTAAGAATATGAGAAATGATGTTAAATCTCTGAGCATTTATATTTTGATTTTTCTGGATATTAGAGCTATACATTTTTGTGTTGTGTTTATATTATATTTTGCAGACTGTTGATATTCATAAAGAGAAAGTTGCAAGAAGAGAAATTGGTATTTTGACTACCAATAAAAACACTTCAAGGACACATAAGATTATTGCTCCAGCCAATCTTGAACGACCAGTTCGTTATATTAGAAAACCTATTGACTATACAATTCTAGATGATATTGGACATGGAGTAAAGGTAAGTATAATTTTTGTCAAGCTTTTTAAAACAATGGCCCATAATGAAACTAACTCTAGAAAGTTAAATTCTTATCTTTCCTAGAGGACCAAATCTTGGCCCATTGTGGCTCTGAAGATTCCTCACTACTGTAACTGTTTTATCCTTGCTTCTTCTTAGTACTGTGTTCCCAAGTTTTAAACAGTCATCTTTGAATGAATTGCATTTGCTTAATCAATTATGAAAATACCTCATCTAGATCTGGTAACTAAGTGTGGTGTAATCTTTTTAATCTTTTAATGATTTCATACAACTGATAAAAATTATTCAGTATCTTATTAAAGGATTTAGCTTATCTCAAAAATTTATCAGCAAACTTTTGGCATTAGTTTTCAGAAAGAACATATATAAACAAACGTACTTTGAATTTTTCTAAAATGATTTTTAGAATCACCTTAACATTTCTCACCTTTAACATTTTGGGTGAGAGTAGTATAGATAAAAGTAATATGTGAATTAGTCCTTCCACTGCTTTAGAGTATATAGCCATTATATATTTTGGCTATCTTTTAAAATGTATTTGAGTGCCTGCTGTATATATATAAAGTACCATAATCAAAACTGAGGCGCCTGTAAATTTCATTTAAATTGGTGAGTGCACTTAAGAACTATTCAGAGCTTCAGCTAAATATTAAGTTATTTAAAGTTTGTGTCTCATCAGTGATTTGAAAGACAAATGACTTGTCAAATGTGACTTTGAATATATATCTCCAAGAGAAACTGTCCAGTTCATGCAGTTGATTTATGTCTAATATAAGCAAATTTAAATAAAAAAATATAGCCCACACTAGTATGGTTAGAAATCAGTTAAATCTAAATTTAATATAGATCTAGGTAAAAGAAAATATACAGTGTAAATTTTTTTAAAAAGTCTTTTTTTTCCTCACAATTTTGATATAGGCACTATTATCTAAAATTTGATATTTAATTTTATAATTGACACCTACATGCATTTAGATTACTGTACTAGTTAGAGCATGTAAAATAGGGTGTGTAATTGAATGGATAATGAATAACTGAAATTTATGCTAACTTGGGAAAATCTTTTGAAATTTATTCAAGGTTAACAACTGCTAATAGAAAATTTTAGGATACTGCCAGAATCTAATGACAAAAAGCACTTAGAATATAAAATATCGTATTTGTGCTTGCCTACTTATATAATAAAAAAGTGACCCCCACCCTTCTTATTTAATCCTCAAGTAAAATGTTATTCTTTTAGGACTCTGTAGTCCCTTTCATTGTTTGGACTTTTAGTGTTTAGGGATCATTAATTTGAAGAAATCTTTAATACAGTTAAGTTTTTGAGTAACGCAGTGTCTTATATAATTTCATCGGGAACAAAAAATTCCTGTTCATGACACATTCTGCTTTAACCACTCTTTTCTATGATCTACTGAGACATTATTTTTTAATGCTGAATGCTTAACTTGTTTTTTCTTTGTTTTTTCCCTTTCTCTTCACATCCTAAAGTTCCAACTAACCTTTCAATGCTTTTTTTCCTTACCTCTTTTATTTGCTCCATTTATGCATTAAGTGGTTGCTTAGATTTAAGGTAAGAGATTCCAGGGCTGGATTTCCATTCTTTGTTCTTATGTAGAATATTACATATGGGGAGTGAAGAGATATTTGGCACTTGGCCTTTTAAAACCAACAAATAATTCTTCTTTTTTATTTTATTTTTGTCATGCAATTTTGTGGTGTGTCTTCATGTTCCACGAGGGCACATATTTTTCTCTGTTTTGTTCACTGCCCTATCCTGTGTGCCTAGAACAGTGCCTGACACACATTAGGCACTTAGTAAATATTTGTTGAGTAAATGGTTATTTTGCAATCTTAATATATTTTATGAAACTGAAATGTAAGTTACCCTATCATAAGATGTCATTATGAAATAAAATTAGTTGGATTTTTGTAAATGTAGAAATTTGTAATGGATTCCAGGGCAAACTAATGTGCTTTATTGAACCCTCCCCCTGTGTAATAGCATTTTTATTCTATAAATGGTGTGCTTTATTATACACCTTGTGGCCAATATGTCATTATCTCTTGACTCTTAATCACTATTAAGAAATTGAGAAGCAGAAAATATTTAGTGTTATGGGTTTGTTTTAAGTTGCAGTATCATGTATTTTGCAAAAAGACAATGTTAATCTTATTTTTCGAATTGCTATATAAAATATATATTTCAGTGTAAACTCACTTTAAGAGTTTTTCAAGCTAAGTGTTAATTATATGCAAAACATCAAAAGCTCATGATAGTGTTTAACAAAATGCAAGTTAAGAATTAGAGATAATATTTCCTTTTGTTGTTTGTTACAGTAACATTTTTTATTTTGAAAGATTAATGGTAAAAGACATTCGAGTATATTCAAGGACCCTGTCAAATAGAATGTTACTAAAATTATTTTCACCAAACTGAGCATGCATTTCTTTTTTGTTCTTTTTTTCTTAGCTGAATTTTATAATTTCTTTTCAAATATATATTCTTTCCATCTAATACCCTATTGTTTGCCATGTCTTCAGTGATAACAAGAAGACAAGATGACTGAGATCTGAATCATTAAGTAGCTGCTAACCTAGGCCCCTGAAATCTCAACAGATTGTGGTGGAGAGATGTGACTAGAGGAGCACAGGCAAATATACTTCTGGTGTTCTTGATTGGAGTGTTAGCTTCAAGCCCTCAGTCTTGTGGAGTGAGGCATGTGGAACTGGGAGGAGATTCCTTTTGCCTCAAGTAGGTAGAACTAGACCAAAAGCAGTCTGTGTGGCTACCTTGGCTCTTTACCCCTGAAAGTCTGTATGCAGATTTTGGCTACTGATATGTTAACTTCCGAGGTGATAGAAGTGCACCGAAAGATTAACTGCAGGAAAAACACAGAAATGGATCAGTTCTTTTCCCTTAAAGTTTAGACCAGCTTGGCTAAGCTATGATCTCATGCTGATTTCCTCCAAACCTTACTATGATTCCTTCTTTTTTTTTTCTTTTGTTAATCCTTCCTTCCTTCCTTCCTTCCTTCCTTCCTTCCTTCCTTCCTCCCTCCCTCCCTCTTTCTCTCTCTCTCTTTCTCTCTCTCTCTCTCCTTCTCTCTCTCTTTCTCTCTCTGTCTCTCTCTCTCTGTCTCTCTCTCTGTCTCTCTTTCTCTCTCTCTTTCTCTCTCTCTTTTTCTCTCTCTCTCTCTCTCTTTCTCTCTCTCTCTTTCTCTCTCTCTCTCTCTCTTTCTCTCTCTCTCTCTCTTTCTCTCTCTCTCTCTCTTCCCCCCTTCCTCCCTTCCCTTTTCTTTTCTTTTCTTTTCTTTTCTTTTCTTTTCTTTTCTTTTCTTTTCTTTTCTTTTCTTTCTTTTTCTTTCTTTCAACACTGGTCTACATTGTATAAATTTCAGGTGTACATCACTACACTTCTATATGATTCCTTCTTGACCTTCCTGGGTTCAGGATCTGTTCCATGTGGGAGATAGGCCAAAATGAGTGGGAAACAAGAGGCTCCTAGAAAGAAAGATCTAACAAGGAAATCACACTTGGATAAGAATTCCTTAACATCTTCACTCTTTGCACCAAATAGCTCCACTCCACAGTACTGTGGCTCTATATAGGTGTTTCTGCGATATTGGGGTGGAGTTGACGGGATGAGAAGAGTACCCTGAGCTCATCCTAGAAGCTAGAATGTGCCAGTGCTCTGTCTTGTCTTGTTTCCTATCCTTCTTTGTATGTCTGTCTTCTCAATAAACTTGCAGCACATAGTTAATAATTTTGGGTGAACCAAAACAAAGTATAGAGAAAAAAATAATTCAGTATATAGCAAATCATTACTCTTTTTATGCTGGTGAAAAAAAATTAGTGGTTTTAGAAGGGTGATTAATGCAAAAATTGAATATATTAAGGTAGAAAATATAATTAAAGAAAAAAATGTTACAGTTGGAAGGGACTGCAAATAATAAACTAGTCCAGTGGCTTTCCAAGTGAGCTTCTTGGAGACCTGTGGATTATATCAAGTGCCCTAGAAGTCTCCAGATGTTTGATAGAATTATCTGCTACTTTGATTTCCTCCTCAGCTCTTCCTGAGGCTCTGTCTTTGCTTCTGTTGCTGTCAGACTTTTGATGCTTTTCAGACAGACTGTAAACAAAGATGGTACTTTTGGGACCAGACATATGGGATTGGACTCAGAAGAGACCTCCATGCTTAAGAGTTGAATTTTTAACACTTTGTACAGCATGTTCTGCTGGTGTTTAATGGTTCTTTTCATCTGAAATTTGGGTTGTTTTTTATTCAGTTGACTGAGGAGAACAAGTTGTAGATTTTAATTCATAAGACCTTTGGAAACAATGTGGTGATACTTTTGCAACAAAAGGCATAAAAAGCTAATGGATAGAATGCCCTATTGGAAGTGTTGTAATATATACCTGGGGCGGTATAAAAGTGGAATGTACCTTAAACTGCGGTACCCTTTCTTCACTCTTTATTTTAATAGTAAAAAGAGTTTTAAGACCGTGTTACTGATATATTTATTTGAAATGGATTCTTCTGTTCAAAGTGGTAAAGTTGTCACTAATGAAGCTAAGCTCAAGTACTTTTTAAGTATATTAGTTTATTTGAAAATAGTAAAGACTTCTGTTAATGTAGTATTTATTTCAGTTGAACAGTGCACAAGCAGATTCTAAATAATTAATGAGGAGGATTTAGGGGTTTATTTTACAGCTAACACAGTAGGTATATAACACTTTTGAAAATTTTGCTTGGGGTCTTGGAGATCCATAACTTAACCCTATGTAAAAAGGGGCTAACTTTTTCATTTGAGTGCAATCTTTTACAAGTGTTTGTCATTCCCTGCACTTGGATGATAAATTGCCGCTTACATTTCTAGCTTTCAGATACAGCTGAGGGTTCACTCTTAGGCATTTATTTGACACAACACTTGGAAGAAAAACTCCTTAACAACAGCAACCCTTGGGAGACCCACCTGTTTTTGCCTATTAGTTTCAATCTTGAACCACCAATTCTATTTTGGCAAAAGCCAGTTGTCAGAAACTGGCAGAATCAAGCAAATTCATCCATCAATCAAGTTCATCCATCTTTATTTCTCTTTTCTTCTCGTTCTTCTTTCTTTATCTGTTTCTCTCCTGCCTTACTCCTAATCTCTTACTCTCAGATCTCTGTATTAGATTACTGTATTTTAGGACTCTTGGCGCCTTAGGCTTTTTGTCTTGCTAACTCTCTTAGGAAAAATTTTACCTCTCTCCTGAATTCATACTTGAATTCCTGATTTCAGCTTTGATTTCCCTCAGAGGATCTCCTGGTCCTGTTCCTGCTAGCCCTGAGAACTGAAGTAGGAACACATATTCTCTGAGGAGAGGGATAGAGATCTCTAGGAAGCCAAAGAATCGTGTACTGGATGGGACTAACGGGGAACAATACTGGACATTGAATGAAGGCGCAAAGGTGCTTGGCCACAGCTTCTGCACGTCCTCCTAACTCCACCAGACACAGCCTATACATACTACTCCTCTTCTCTTGGTGTGTTTTAGTCCTGTTCTCTGTAAATCTGTTAACACTCCAGCTCAGGTTTTTCACTATAAAATGTTCTGTAGCTATTCCTTTTCACATTGATATTTCTTTTTGGGGGATTTCTATATAATTTGTAGACATTTTTTTTTAAACATATGAGTCTTCATATGTTTTAAACTCATATGTTTTAAACATATGAGTCTTATTTCTTCCATAGTAGTGTAAGTTCCCTAAAAGCAGAGAAATCATCTTATAGACCTTTGTATCCCTGGTGTCCACCTTATTTTTCACATTCCTTTACCCTTGTACCTAGAAGTTTGGCAGGTGGTGGGTGGTTGACAAATGAGGGATGTACCACAGGTATCATTTTAGAATGTGTCTGCCGCTGTTACATTGCAGCAGGGCATCTGTCAGTGGGAGACAATTCTTTGTAGCAGAAGTGATATGCTCTGTGAACTAGAGATACGTGGCTGGCCAGCTTTATAAAAAATACTGAAGTTCACAGAGTCCTGGAAAACACTGAGATTTGTAATGGACATTACATTATATATCAAGGTTCAACGAGATAGTGAATGTACCAAAAAAGGATAGAGCAGGAAACATAGGCGCACTGTAGAAACAATATTAAGGCATAATAACTGGCCTGATGGTTGGTGCTAGTTGTAGAGATCTCTGAAGCCACTCTTTGATTATAAAGGAACTGTTCCTACCTCCAGTATTATCTGCATTCCTTAATCACAAACCAGTGGGAAAGTATTTGTGCTGTGGCCATAAATTAACCGTCATCACCTAAATGAAATATTTCTCCTGTTTTGAGGGTTTATCTCTGGTAGGGGGAAAAAAGGGACCTTTCCTATTGTTCTTCCCTGTGCCTAATACCTGCCTCACTTAGCTCTCAATGATGACTTTCCTCTTTATGGAATTAAAAAATACCCATGTAATTGAATTATTCTTGCAGTCAGCCACCAAAGTTTCATTCCAGTTCCCAAATAAAACTTTGAAAAGTATAATGAGCATTCCCACTCATGATTCAGAACTACTAACTACACGTTTATATGCAGGCGATAGTTCTGCTTAGGTTTGCAGTTTTTTTAAAAGTTTCATGTGGAATTGCTGTTATGAAGTGGGTGCGGTGTTGCTTTGTTTTCTTTGTCCTGCGTTTATGGTGTGCACACACACACACACACTCTCTCTCTCTCTCACACATTCTCTCTCTCTAGCTAAGTTCCCCTTCACCATACATGCAATTTAGTCATGTGTTTGCTGCTTGTCAGGAAATATTGTTTCCCTCTATAAACTTCTCTCAGAATAGTTTTTGGAACCATGATGGCTATCCAGTAAGTACTTTTTTACCAAATTATTTTAGATTTGAAATATAGTTTTTTAACTTTAATTATAGTACAGATTCCACTTATGGTAAAGAAGTTAAGTTTTGTTTGGCAGTTATTCCTCTTGTCTCCCCTCTCCTCAAATTAGATGGCAGTATTTATACTCTGCATGGCATATTCAGTGTTTTACTTAGCAGTGAAGCATTTTTCACAAAGGAAAGCGACCTTGAAGAAATATTGAAAACTCTTTTAACTTAATATAAAGATAGTAAGTACAGTATCAGTGAAGTGTAAAATTATACATTACTTGGACATTCTACAGGGACTCTCTGGTTTTCTAAGTGATTTGTTACTCATCCAAATCTCATTGGTTAATCCAATCCCGTTAACCAAGCAAATACAATCATTTGATCATAAAATGTATCAAGTTTTATGTGTAGAAATATCCACCGGATTTTAATTTATGGATTGTTTATTTTATATTATTTTGGGGGTAGATTAAAAGACTTATAGAAGATACTGCAATTTAAACAAAAACACCTTACATATCAAAACCTTAAACAAATCAAAACTGTTTTCAAGTATTTTAGCTATTCCATGTATAGAATAAAATTCTCTTTTATTCTTTTTCTATCCCTGTTCCTTTTCCTTCCTGTTTCTAGCAAATTGATGTAGTTTAGTGTTTGGTTCACCTACTTCTCCTTCATCACTTAAAGTAACTTTGGGTTTTATGTTGTTTAAGGTTGAGCTTAAAGGACTTTGGTTACTACTTTAAAGAATCTGCTGGTATCATGAATGAAGATTTACAGTTTTAAAAGCTGTTGGTTATTTTGTCATATGACTCCTAAAATTTTCCCCAAATGTGGATTAATTTTTTTAAAACTTCTGGGATTTCCATTTTAGATGTGATTAGTATACCCTCTGCTTATTAATGAGGGGGAGAGAGCAAGGATAAGTTAATCTTTATTCTTACTTGATAACCAGTTTGTTTTGTATTTATTGTTTAAAAGCAACAGCAAAAGGATTACAGATAAATGGCTTCACTTTAAAAATATTGATATTTCAAAGGTATCATTTGTCATTAAAGATCCTTTTAACATCACACGCAACTTGTTCACTGGGCTATTCATCTGAAGAGTTTGTTTCTTGATATATTATTTCTTGCCTATTCAGATAACAAATAGTGTTTTAGAATTTTTAAAATTCCATTTAAGCCAGACCTAATTTTGATAGCTTCAATACTCTGTATACAATTATGATATGTTTTCTTAAAATTTATATTTTGCATTTACAATTATAAATGTATTCTGATTTTAGTGGTGTAATGTCTTGCAGTTTCATTTTACAAGTATAATTTGGATACTCTAGACATTTTCTTATTAGAAAAGTTAAGATCCTTTGTGAAGTGTTTGGCAATCCAAAATATGAGGGGCTTAAAATAGGGTCAAGTATGAACCTATATGGTAAACATCAACTCTTACCCATTGGTAATCTCAAACAACTTCAGATTGCATTTGAACTATATTTGTGAATGACTTCTCTTAGCTCCTTAAGATATCCAGGTTTCTAGGGCTTTCTGTGTAAGTACTGACATACTCGTTTGGTAGCACCCCTTGTTCCCAGATTACCCAACTTTCCCACACTTGCATTTTCAGTTGGGGATAGAATAGTGAGGAGTCATGGCCTAGGTCTGAAGCCTTAGGAGTATGTTCCATCTTTCCCATGCCTGAATAATCTTCATTTTGGGCCTGAGTGGGTCTCATTCCCACTGGAACTAGGACATTGCCAGTGGCCCCTGTACTGCTCATAGCTAAGTGGGATACCTCATCCCTAACTTTCTGGTTCAGATGGTTAGGAACATGCCTTAACTGCTGGCAGTTTTCAGGTAGGTGATTGCTTTAAGAGAACATTAAAGAAACCTGAATTGTAAGGCCGATCCATAATTTAAAAACCTAAAATTTTTTCTGTATATCGTATGATTTAACTTTATTTTATATTCTCTAGTTATAATGGTTCAAAACTGTAGTTGCATATTTTATTTGGGAAACATGTATTTTGTTTTTTATTATATATTTGCTATCTAAAAAACAAGGAAGTGCTTAAAGGCATTATTGTTTGTGATTCAGTTACTCTTAATAAAACTAAAGTTTTTATAGTTATCGTATTCAATTTCAATTGACTGTAGTATTAAATAGTCTAACCAGTGATCTGTTGGTGTGATGGCCTAATGGCAAATAAAGTCTTTGTATACAAGTTTATAATCATTTGAAAATCTCACGTTAGGACGAGTCCTTTGAGTACAACTGTAGAATAATAGTAGATTAGAAATTGCGTATGAAATGCATGGCCTCTAATTTTTTTTTCTATTTAAACCTTCCCCTCCTTTGTTGCATAGAGTAATATTATTTCCCAAAAGTGCCACTTTGTTTCACTGCATGCAAGTTGAGTTTTCCTCAAAATTTTTTTAGGTGAGTACCCAGAATATGAAGATGGGTGGGCTGCCGCGTACAACACCTCCAACTCAGAAACCCCCCAGTCCCCCTATGTCAGGGAAAGGGACTCTTGGGTGAGTATGTAACTATGTAATGATTGAAAACCATTTCATGTAGTGTTGTGTGAAAACTAAACACTACATATATTTAAACTAATTTTTAATATTTGAAAAGAGAACGTTTTCTTCCTAAGATCATCTTTCTTGTGTGTAACTTTTCCTTTTCTTGGGAAGCATCTTTATACTTTAAAAAGATTTTGTGTAGAAATTATTTTTCTAATGAATTTTAAATTTGAGGTAAAATTGTAGCCCAAGTTCATGGTTTATTATAAATTGCACTCTAATTCCTATTTTCAGAAAATTTTTAGTCTTTCACATTACAGTTGACTGTTCTTACTCAGACTGTGAAGAACATGGTGTAGATTATAAAATTCTGTATATCTTGCATTGTCATGAGAGTATTGAGCTTTAATTCAGTCTGCAGAATTGGGCTCCAGCTTTGACTTTTGGCAGAAATGGTCAATTAATGGAAAAGCTTGACTTTTTTCTCCTATAGCATCATAATATAAAAACTTGGTTTATTGTGATCGAGGTTTGTGATCAAGTGGGCACAGTATAGCCCAGAAGCCGGATGACTAAAATGGTGGTTCAGCTCTGCTACAGCTCTCTGGTCTTGCGTAGTCAGCCTCTTAGCAATTCAATTTTTTCATCTGTAAAAGGGGGTAATATTTGTCTGCTCTCAACTTTTCAGAGTTACCGTATGACAAATTGGATTTTTAAAAAATGTCTAAGACACAGACAAAATGCTTTGACAACCATTGGCTTTATAATATATGCTTAAAAGTTTTTAATTGACAGTCTGGTTTTTGGCCCCCTCACCAAAAACAACAACAACAAAAAACCTAATCAAGCCTAGGGATCAGGACAGGACAAAGATGAGTTGAGATATAAAGGAGGATAATGTTGGAAGAGGAATTATAGTTAGGACAGTTGGAAACAAAAGAATAAAAATGAGTTCCAGTCAGGAATAAGATGATTTTATTTGGGGTGGGCAAAAAAAAGTCTGCTTAGATTAGAGAGGAAAGAATCTAGTAGATACAATAAGATTTTATTTTATTTTATTGACACGGTAGGGTATAATTGTGCAGGGATAAGAGTAGAGTCAGATCAAGAGGAAGTATTTGTTTTATTTTCCTGTGGAATACCTACGTTTCTAGCATGTATAGTATCTAATGGATTTTGTTAGGTTTTGAATCAAGATTGTTAGCAAGATAACCCACTGTAGTCTCTAGTAAAATAAAATTTTCTGTTACTCTCAAATTTTGAAGATTTACTCATATACCAGTATTTGTTTTTCTTGTGTATTAGCAAGGGTTCTGAGGATCCTTGGCGACCAGAGTCGCTGAGCCCCACAAGCTGGTTGATGGTCACAGCCTGGCTTTCTCGCACGTCTTTGCCTAGCCACCATATTTTGTTCCTCTGCCTCTTTTTTTTTTTAAAGATTTTATTTATTTATTTTTTCACCCCCAAAGCCCCAGTAGATAGTTGCATGTCATAGCTGCACATCCTTCTAGTTGCTGTATGTGGGACACGGCCTCAGCATGGCCGGAGAAGCAGTGCGTGGGTGCGCGCCCAGGATCCGAACCCGGGCCGCCAGCAGCAGAGTGCGCGCACTTAACCGCTAAGCCACGGGGCCGGCCCTGCCTCTTATTTTTTACCTTGTCTTTATCATTGCCTTCACTGTCTAGTTCTCAATCAGCAAAGGTTTTTTTCTTGGATGAAACAGAACATTTTTATTGTCTGGGAAAAATTGTCTGGAAATCAGATGTTTAGAAATAAATCAGTTTCGTATTTTATGGTATTTATAGTTACATCATAATTTCAGAGATGCCTAAACTTCTTTTCAGTATTTTCAATCCAAATTTCTACATTCTTTTTTCTTCCTTTGACCCAATATCTCATCTAGTGCCCCTTATTTATTTTTAATTATTAAAGTATATATGTATTTATGCAAAGAGATTTTGAGGGTAGTAGAGTGGATGGGGTCATTGCAAAGTGATATCGTCTGAAATCAATGAGCTGAAATTCGAGTAGCCCAGGAGAGCAGTGTTTGAAGGAACCTTGGGAGCTTTTTGGGAAGTGAATTAATAAGAAATACATAAGTTAAGGGAGCAACATCATCTCAGGAAAAGAAAGCTTTTTAATTTTCACATCTTGAGATCCCAATTTTTATTCTTTTAAAGAGCAGAATCTCATCTACAAATGTCAGTTTCACGTCAGTTGAGTATTTATCATTGTCATAAAAAATTTGGAAACTTAGAGGTGAGAATTAATTTAATAATCGCTAATGTTCTAGTGTACATCCTACTTCCTATCATATTTCCTTTCTTACTCTTCTCATTTTCTTTCTGTAAAAGGAAATCTGGAGAAAAAGAGGGAAATATGTTAATAAAATCCAGTCTGTTTTGTACTTCACAGTTCAAAGTAAATAAGGTAGACTTAGGTGGTCTTTTTTTTTTCTCTCCCTTTTGAATGTTGAACTCTGAGGAGGGTAAAAGGTAAGAGATATCAAGGTGAAAGTTGAGGAGGATGTGAAGTGAGAATGGAAGGAGATGAGATTAAATTGTGGATTTCTTTGTATTGGGTATAGTTTAATTTGTATGTATTTATTATATAGAAAGGGAAATGAATTTTTATGGTTGCTGTTGCTCATCAGTGTGAGGGTTGTGGAGCCAAATTCTAGGTTATTTACCCTATCTTTGAATATCCTTGGTTAGGGAGAGAGGGGTGAGGAAGATGATTAGTGCATTCATGCAGTGCAGCTGGAAGACTTTGACGTGCTACTAAAATAATTTGAACTCACCTAAGACAAGACAGTCTGGGAAACATTGGCTTACCTGGTGGGAGAATCTTCGTGCTCTCAGAACGAATGAACAAAATTGCATTAGCACAGGGAAATGAGGTTGGAGACTAAAAAGTAACAATACTCCTCAAAACCCTAATGGTGGAGAAGTGATACTTAAGGAAAGACTGAAATTGGTAGCTGGGTTATTTTAAAACACATTTTCCTATTTCTGAGTACAAATTGTATTTCACTACTGGCAACTCTGAATTTATTGTGCCGAGACTTGCTAATCACACGATACATACGCTCTTCTTTTTGTAGGCGGCACTCCCCCTATCGCACACTGGAGCCAGTGCGTCCTCCAGTGGTACCAAATGATTACGTACCTAGCCCAACCCGTAATATGGCTCCCTCGCAGCAGAGCCCTGTGAGGACAGCTTCTGTGAATCAAAGAAATCGAACTTACAGGTATTTTCTCTACCTCAGTGCAAAACGTGATGGTCGTAGCACCATGATTTGTTCAGATAACTTTAGTTAAATTTCTCTCATTTTCCAAGCACTAAGTTCTTTTCCTCACTCTACTCTCCCAAACCTCATCTGATTCCACCTCTCTCTCCTCATGTTCTCATGCAACTTTGAGCAGTCAGGAAGTTGAAGAACAGACATCTCACAGTGCAAACTTCTCCACAAGATTAATAGTTATAGTTGACCTGAAAAAAAGTTATGGACCAGATGTGGGAAATTTCAAGTTGTTTTTTGGTGGAACTTTACAGATGAAAAACTATACACAATAAAACATTAATATGGGATAGTATATCAAGATATCATTACAAATAAAATTAATCAAATAATCTGTTTAGGAAAACTCTGTTTTTATTATAAAAGACATTTCTTCAGACAAGCATTAAACTGGAGTAAAAGAAAGTAGTATTATTCTTATGTGTTGAGCCCCATCCTTTGTCACTTATATTTATAGAGAATTTTTTCTTCTTAATTTCTTTAATACATGCTTATTAAAATGTGGTCAAAACAAGTTTCTTGAACCCAGCTTTTTCGCCTACTTTATTAAGAAATTCCTATTTGAAGTGGAGGGCTTTTGAATTATCTTTTTGTAGATAATTTTGGGAAGTGTTGGTGTCATCTTACTGTATATCAATACTCATGTTTTGGGGCTCTTCCTTCTGTAGCAGCAGTGGGAGCAGTGGAGGAAGCCACCCGAGCAGTCGGAGCAGCAGTCGGGAGAACAGTGGAAGTGGGAGTGTGGGTGTTCCCATTGCTGTTCCGACGCCCTCTCCTCCCAGTGTCTTTCCAGGTAAAACACTAAAGGTGCTTCATCTTCACTTGTCCTTCCTGAATTTGAATTTAATTTCTGATTTAATTACAGTGGGCTTTCTTCATAATCAGGATTTTTTTTTCCTTTAGGACTCCATAAATGTTGGAAAATCTTTGTGCGTTTGTTATTTTTAACCAAGTGATTTGTAAGTTTATGGTCACACACGTCTCTGTTATTTGGTCTCATGTCTTTGATGCTGTGGCTCAGTTGGTGCTTTGAGGTTTCCGGTGCCATCTTGGTATGAGTTATGTGTTTAATTCCTGCTAGTGTTAGGACAGTGCATGCCTTTGGACGCACTGCGGACTCTGTGAGAATCAGATTGGTAACAAAAGGCTTGGACAAATAGAAAAATAGTTTTAACAGTTAAATTTAGTTGACTGTTGGCACTTAATACTGGATGAAATGCTACCCTCTTTTCTGTGAAACAGAAAAATGTGCTTGTTGAGGACACACAGTTAAAATTTAGTTTTAAAAGCATGACACAAAAGACATAAGGATAGAATATTAATTTACTTATCATAATAACAAATAGATAATACCTTTTTAAAAATCATGAAAAAGAGAGATTTGCATTTTTCTAAATTCTTTTTTACCTGATAAGATATTTATGTCTGGAATATATCTTTATTTTCTGATTTGTGTAATTCAGAATGGAATACTGTTGTTTTCTAGTGGCTATCAGGTAAAAAGGAATGCTTTTAATGAATTTAAAAACCATACATTACCCTGAGCATCTTGAATTATTTGCTGCAAACCTAACAATCCTTTAACATAAGCTTTATTCTTTTTTTTTTTTTTTTTAACACTCTTCTTTGGTTAGTGATAAGCACTGAATATCTAACAGTAAGTTCTCTAATGCCTTTTCTCATCCTGCCTAATGGGACAGCCTCATTAATGCTACCTCTTACTCCTCTTTCCCTCAGCCCCTGCTGGCTCTGCTGGTACTCCTCCCCTTCCTGCTACTTCTGCATCTGCCCCTGCCCCTCCTGTTCCTGCTACCGTCCCTTCCTCCACTGCCCCAGACACTGCCGCTGGGGGTGCCCAGACCCTTGCTGATGGCTTCACTTCTCCAACTCCCCCTGTTGTTTCTTCCACTCCCCCTACAGGTGAGTATTGGCTTATTCCTTGGCAGGCACATCCAATCATCCGACTCTTCTCTTACCTGGAACTCTGGCTTTGTTTTTGTTTATTTGGGCTTTGTATAAAAAAAAAAATCTGAAGAATAAGGTACTAACCTAGAAAATGGCATGTGACCAAGAGTAGAATTTCCTGAGGAAATCTGTGTAAAGTTTCCCATGCATTTTTCTAATAAAGTAGCACAAATATACATATTTTTATTTCTTGAATTTCATTTATTAGACATTTGTGAATTTAGTATGGAGCCATCTTCTTTTTTTTTTTTTTGTGAGGAGATCAGCCCTATGCTAACATCTGCCAATCCTCCTCTTTTTTTCTTTTTGCTGAGGAAGACTGGCTCTGGGCTAACATCCATGCCCATCTTCCTCCACTTTATATGGGACGCTGCTGCAACGTGGCTTGCCAAGCAGTGTGTCAGTGCGCGCCCAGGATCCGAACCGGTGAACTCCAGGCCACTGCAGCAGAGCGCACGCACTTAACCGCTTGCACCACCGGTCCGGCCCTGGAGCCATCTTCTATACAGTTTTGAGAAGTTGTCCTTAGAAATATTGTTTGTTACAGGTTAAGTCTATGACAATTTTGTTTGTTACAGAAAGTCTATGACAATAATTCTAAGGTATATTTTCTAGAAAATATTTGCTGTAACAGTTTGAAAGTCTCTATAAGTCTATTATAACAGAATCTGCTGCTTATTATAGCAGCATTGGAAGCAAATATAAAATGGACTTTTTAAGAATTTCAGTTTTACTTGTTACTTGAGGTTGACTGGTGTTTTAGTGTTTTAAAATTGCAACCTAAAATCTGTTTTGATAGGGAAGGAGAAAAATTGCCACAAAATATATTTGCACAGTTAACAGTGATGCTAGTTAGTGAACAAGTTTTTATCTATTATAAAAATGTATGTTTGGGGCCGGCCCCATGGCCTAGTGGTTAAGTTCGGTGCTCTCCGCTTCGGCGGCCCGGGTTCAGTTCCCAGGCACAGACCTACACTGCTCATTGGTGGCCATGCTGTGGTGGTGTCCTACGTACAAAATAGAGGAAGATTGATACAGATGTTAGCTCAGGGCTAATCTCCCTCAAGCAAAAAGAGGAAGATTGGCACAGATGTTAGCTCAGGGCAAATTGTCCTCAGCAGGAAAAAAAAAAAAAAGTATGTTTGGACACACATCACCTTAGCTTGTCAGTAAAGTACTTCATAGAATATATATTCAGCTCTGCTGCTATAAGCAGATGTTTAAATGTTTTAAAAGACATTTTAAAAATCCATTTTTAAGTGGATTTTGGATAGTGTTTTATGAGATAGCTTCTATAGTAGCACTTTTTAAGAAAAGCTGTCTCCAGTGGGTAGAGGTCAACACGAGCTGTTCTTTGATCTGCATGCAACTCTGATAGGCCAGACTAGCAAGTTAAATATAGGAATCTTGTTATGCTCCTGTGTCAGTGGAGTGAAGAATACATCTTGAAATCTGTTGTAGGCCCAGAAAGGACAAATCACCCCACCTGAGAGCCAATATTTGAGTAATTGAATTGTAATTTAATAACAGGTGCTGGTTCGTAGTCTGCACTGAATAAACATTTGTTGTGTGACTGAATAATTATAGTTTTTTTTAACAAAAAGCAAAGTAAATGCCTTACTAACAATTTATATCAGTATAACCTCTTTTATACAGTGTCTTTGAAGCACCAAGTACTTTTTTTTTCTTTTTGTTAAGGTATAATTTATGTACAGTAAAATTCACCCTTTTTAGTGTATATTTCTGTGAGTTTTGACAAATGAATACACATATAACCACAACTACAATCAAGGTGTAGAACAGTCCCATCATCCGTAGATTTTCTTCCATGCCCTCTTTGTAGTCAATTCTTCCTTCATAGCCCTTGGCAACCTCTTGATCTTTTGTAAGAATATCGTGTAAATGGAAGCATATGGTATGTAGCCCTTTGGGTCTGGCTTTTTGGCCCAGTGCATTTGGGATTTATCCATGTTGTTGCATGTTTTGTTATTTTGTTCCTTTTTATTACTGAGTAGTATCCTATTGTATGGATGTACCACAATTTGTTTATCCCTTTCCCAGTTGAGGGACATTTGGATTATTTACAGTTTTGGGTGATTATGAATAAAACTGCTGAAGCACTCACACACAGACTGTTGTGTGAGCACAGGTTTTCATTTCATTTGAGTAAATACCTAGGGAGTAGGATTGCTGGGTTGTATGGTAAGTGAATGTTTAACTTTATAAGAAACTGCCAAATTGTTTTCCAAAGTAGATGGTTGCATGCTGTAGTTGCACATCCTTCTAGTTGCTGCGTGTGGGATGCGGCCCTAGCATGGCGATACAGTTTTGCACCCCCAGTTTCTCTGCATACTTGTTAGCACTTGGTACTGTCATTGTGTTTTTTTTTTTTTTATTTAGCCATTCTAATAGTGTATAATAGTTTCTCATGTGTCTTTGGCATTTCTCTGATGACTAGTGATGGTAGAATATCATCTCATTTGCTTATTTGCTACCTGTTTATTTTCTTTGGAGAAATGTCT